ACGTACGACTTGAAGGCACAAATTACCTTGCTGTTTGCGGAGCCCATCGATTGGCAGGAGGACGTACTTAGGCGGCACTGAGAGAAACAAACCATCTCGGTACGTCTCCTGCCATTGCATGAGCTCAGGCATCGCTGCTACAGGTGGTGCACTTTATGCTGAATAGTGGAAAGCTAAGGCTGCCGAAGGTCTGGCCGAGCGATTTTGCCTAGGGCATCGCAAAGGTTTGTAGCCCAGCAACCTGGGGAAAGGCAATGCTGGGTTGTGCTTGCCGGGCGATGTCACGAAATGCAAATGTGGACTTCAAGAACAACAGCGTGCAACATACAAACATCATCAAATAGCATCTCATGATTCTGTGTGTGTGTTGGATCGACATCGCAAGGGCACAAAACCCTTTGTCGAAAACCTGTGAAAAAGCTGTCGAAAACAAGGGAAAATGCGTAGAATCTGTGAACTCAACATTTAGGACCCAAAACCTAAAAGTATGTTGCAAATAACATCCGAGTAACGTTTGATCACCATCATTATGCTGAAAACACACTTGTCGAAAACCTGTGAAAAAGCTGTCGAAAACAAGGGAAAATGCGTAGAATCTGTGAACTCAACACGTAGGACCCAAAACCTGAAAAGTATGTTGCAAATAACATCCGAGTAACGTTTGATCACCATCATTATGCTGAAAACACACTTGTCGAAAACATGTGAAAAACATGTGAAAAACAAGGGAAAATGCGTAGAATCTGTGAACTCAACACGTAGGACCCAAAACCCTGAAAATCGTGTTCGCGATGGCATCCGATGTGCTTCGGAGCTTGTGAGATTCGTTCAGCATTGGTTCGCGATGGATCAGTCATCCTTGTTTCTTGTGCTGCTTGTGTGGAAATCAAGCATTGCAGTCTGTAGTGACGGCTTTGAGATTCGCAATTCGATGATGGGGAAACCCAAACCTGCCGGCAAACCGCCGGCTGTGCTCCCGGCGGCTGCAGCTTCCGATGCTTGCTATGTATACACACACACTATTGCTTGTGTGTTGGTATGTTCTCCTATATACATATCTATATGTATGCAAACAAATCCGAGGAAGTGACTTCCTCGATCGATGCTTTGCTGCTGGGTCAGATTGGGCTTTCTGCAGAGCAACAGGAGATGGTGCGGCAGAAGATGCCATTCGGCGTCACTACCATCCTCCCCATCCTCTCTCCTCTCCTCTCCTCTCCTCTCCTCTCCTGTCCTCCTACTCTATAACAGTAATAATACATAAATAAATATATATATATATATATATATACACACACACACTATAAGCACGGGGGTTGCTCTTTCCACGGCACACATAAAAATAGCACACGCGGGGGCGGGTGGGTAGGTGTTGGGCACAAAAACACACCGCAAAAAATTCGCGAGCGCTACCGCGGGGGGGGCCTACCCCCTTGGAATATTCGGAACACACGTGCCTGGGCACAAAAACACACCGCAAAAAATTCGCGAGCGCTACCGCGGGGGGGGCCTACCCCCTTGGAATAATCGGAACACACGTGCCTGGGCACAAGAACACACCACAGAAAATTCGCGAGCGCTACCGCGGGGGGGGCCTACCCCCTTGGAATAATCGGAACACACGTGCCTGGGCACAAGAACACACAACAGAAAATTCGCGAGCGCTACCGCGGGGGGGGCCTACCCCCTTGGAATAATCGGAACACACGTGCCTGGGCACAGAAAACACACCGCAGAAAATTCGCGAGCGCTACCGCGGGGGGGGCCTACCCCCTTGGAATAGTCGGAACACACGTGCCTGGGCACAGAAAACACACCGCAGAAATTCGCGAGCGCTACCGCGGGGGGGGCCTACCCCCTTGTGATAATCGGAACACACGTGCCTGGGCACAGAAAACACACCGCAGAAAATTCGCGAGCGCTACCGCGGAGGGGGGCTACCCCCTTGGAATAATCGGAACACACGTGCCTGGGCACAAAACCGCACCACAGAAAATTCGCGAGCGCTACCGCGGGGGGGGGGGGGGGCTACCCCCTTGGAATCATCGGAACACACGAGCCTGGGCACAAAAAAACAACACCGCAGAAATTTCGCGAGCGCTACCGCGTTGCATGGAAAAGACCACTGACATATGTAGGAGGGGAAGCGGCGAGGCTGGTCACAACGCACACCACAAAAAATCGCAAGCGCTATCGCAGGGGACAGGCTGGGTGTGCCTGCGGGCACAAAACACAAACACAAAAGCGAGCGCAACCCGCAGCTCGGGGGGACTACATATTAAGCGACAGGTGGGTGCCGGAGGCTACTTATTGTCATACTGCCATGGGAAAGGGACAGCAGGTACATAAGAATGCAGCCGCGGATTGAGCTTCCCTTTGTGGTATTTGCCGGATCAATATTGATATACCTATGTAAACATATATATGTCATATATAATATATGTGTGTATATACATATATATATATATATGTATAGAGAGATTATTTCTCAATGAATTAATTAAGAAGTTCTGGATAGCCTTAGATTATAGTATATAGTCTTGCTGATTATACAAGGTCAACGATGCTGCAGCCACGTGATGGTGCTGTTCCACAGCTGAACCTTCCAGCAGGTGGACCGCAGCAGCACCAGCTGGCAGCTCCTAGTGCAGTTCCCCCGCAGAACCTTCCGCCAAGTGGACCGCAGCAGCAGGTGGCAGCTCCCAGCAGTGCAGTTCCCCCGCAGAACCTTCCGCCAAGTGGACCGCAGCAGCAGGTGGCAGCTCCGCCTAGTGCAGTTCAGCAGAACCTTGCGCCGAGTGGACCGCAGCAGCAGGTGACAGCTCCTAGTGCAGTTCAGCAGAACCTTGCGCCGAGTGGACCGCAGCAGCAGGTGACAGCTCCGTGTGCAGTTCCGCCGCAGAACCTTCCGGCAAGTGGAGCGCAGCAGCAGCAGGTGGCAGTGGCAGCTCCTGGTGCAGTTCCGCCGCAAGTGGACCGCAGCAGCAGGTGACAACTCCTAGTGCAGTTCCGCAGAACCTTCTGGCGAGTGGCCCCCCGCAGCAGGTGGCAGCTCCTAGTGCAGTTCCGCCGCAGAACCTTCCGGCAAGTGGAGAGCAGCAGCAGCAGGTGGCAGCTCTTAGTGCAGTTCCGCAGCAGAACCTTCCGGCAAGTGGCCCCCCGCAGCAGGTGGCAGCTCCCAGTAGTGCAGTTCCGCCGCAGAACTTTCAGGCAAGTGGACCGCAACAGCAGGTGGCAGCTCCGCCCAGTCCAGCTCAGCAGAACCTTCCTCCAGCAAGTGGACCGCAGCACGTGGCTCCGGGTGCAGTTCCGCAGAACCTTCCAGGTGGACCGCAGCAGGTAGCAACTCCTTGTGCAGCTCCGCAGCAGAACCTTCCACCAGCAGCAGGTGGAATGCAGCAGATGGCGGCTCCTTGTGCAGCTCCCCAGCAGAACCTTCCGCCAGCAGCAGGTGGACCGCAGCAGGCGGCAGCTCCGTGCGCAGTTCCCCAGCAGAACCTTCCGCCACAGCAGGTGACAGCTCCAAGTGCAGTTCCGCAGCAGAACCTTCCGGCAAGTGGACCGCAGCAGGTGGCAGCTCCTTGTGCAGTTCCGCAGCAGAACCTTCTCCTGGCAAGTGTACCACAGCAGCAGGTGATGACAGCTCCAGGTGCAGTTCCGCAGCAGAACCTTCCAGCAGGTGCGCAGCAGGTGGCAGCTGCAAGTGCAGTTCCCTGGCAGCAGAACCTTCCGGCAAGTGGCCCCCCGCAGCAGACGGCAGCTCCAAGTGCAGTTCCCCCGCAGCAGAACCTTCCGGCAAGTGGCCCCCCTCAGCAGCAGGTGCCAGCTCCAAGTGCAGTGCCCCCGCAGAACCTTCCGGCAAGTGGCCCCCCGCAGCAGGTGGCAGCTCCTAGTGCAGATCCGCCGCAGAACTTTCCGGCAAGTGGACCGCAGCAGCAGGTGGCAGCTCCGCCTAGTGCAGTTCAGCAGAACCTTCCGCCAGCAAGTGGACCGCAAGAGGTGACAGCTCCGTGTGCAGTTCCGCAGAACCTTCCGCCAGCAAGGACGCTCCTGCAGCAGCCTGGAACTCCCTCCATTTTGGAGATGGTGCAAGAGCTTGAAACGCAGATGGATCAGGAGGAGCCAATCAGTGTGAATGACACGCCCGAACCCCCGCCCCGGCTGAATCGCAGCGCTGTGTCAACACTGGCTTCGGCTGCTTCCTTTGATGACACATCAAAGGTGGCTCGAGTCTCCCAGGCAGGTTCCGTTGTTAATGTTGTCTGGAATATTCGCAAAACCTGAGTCCGTGGCCGGTCTATGTATACACCCTAAACCCTAAACCCTAACCCTTAAACCCTAGACCACGCACGACGTGTAGGATGTATCACCGTCGTATGGGACACATAATATAATGCATGCAGTGTGACATTTTCTTTCTGTGTGTGTTTTCTGGTGCCGACCGAAATGCGATCTGTCTCGCAGGACTTGGTTGCACCGGACACGTCAGCAGCACTGCTGGTGAAGGCACCGTCGCCGTCGCCGACTCCCGTGACGGCGAAAGCGAAAAGTGCGGCAAGGACGAAGCCGAAGGCTGCTGCTGTGAAGGACATTCACCACGTAGAGCAGTGATGGTTCGTGATATGTCAAGCCTTATGCAAAGCAGCTAATTGTGATTTTCTGCGATCTATAATAATTTGGCATGATTTTTCTTTGTATTTCTCATTCAACAGGATGAGTATGCGCTGCCGGAGCTGACCTTGCAGGAGAAGGCGATGTATGGCAACTTCTGGTCGCGGTACCGCTCGAGCAGCTCGCTGTCGTTGACCAGTGATGCGGATTCCGTCGACTCCGACATCAGCCAACCTGTGCCGAAGGGGCCGCCGGCAGTACCCCAGCCGATGCCGTTGCCGACTGTGCCGCTTCAGCAGCCGCCGGCAGTACCCCAGCCGATGCCGTTGCCGACTGTGCCGCTTCAGCAGCAGACGACAGCAGCTGCAGCAGGGCCGACGAGTGATGCCATGACGACGATGCTGGCGACGGTTCTCAGCACGGCGGTGAGCCATGGTGTTGATGCAGCGGGGCTTGCGGCCATTCAGCAGACCATGGCCAGCATTGTGGCTGCTGCAAAAGCCCCTGATGCTGCTGCTGGAGTCGAGGCCGTTGACAAGACGAAGATCATCGACTCGCAGCCGGCTTTGCCGCCAAGCCCTTTTTCGACGCCTTTGCCGGCCAGCACAGCAGCAAGCCCTTCGACGCCTTTGCCGCCGGCAAGCACAGCAAGCCCTTCGACGCCTTTGCCGCCGCCGAGCACTGCGAGCCCTTCGACGCCTTTGCCGCCACAGACCGCTGTGACGAAAGCCCCGCCGACAGGACCTGCTCCTTCGACGCCTTTGCCACCGCAGACCGCTGTGACGAAAGCCCCGCCGACGGGACCTGTGGTCAACTCAAGCACCCACAGGACTGAGTACCGCTCGTTCCAACGCTTTTGCGAGAACTCACCGGGAGCAGTGGAGTTGAAGAAGGTGTGGGTGCAGGGCGGACCGCAGCGCTTGGCAATGTTCCAGAAGTTTGTTCTGACAGGCTGTGGCCAGGCTTATATTATTGTATATGCACTAACTATATGACGACGGGTATCGCCGTAGCCTCGTGTACTCTGTAGCTGAGATTATTAATGTACACGTTGTGTGTCTGAGAGTGTAAAGATGTATTCATCGATCCCGTCATCCCAAAGGTAACCCTGCGGCTTTGGAATGTGCCCTCCAGTTCCGCCGGCAGAGCGAGGAGGAGAGCAAAGACGAAGGTGGATCCGCATATTCCTATATTGAAGTTTTCTCATATTATAGCATATACGAAATACAGAAGATAATGTATATCCATATGTATGTATATATATATATATATATTATACGTATAGCCGTGCTATATTTCTGGGAGTTTGTCGAATATGTGTGTCGTTTTTTTTGGAAGGTTTCTTAGTTGGTCTATGTGATGTGGTCATGCACAGGTGAATATTATTGCTGGCGTGATATACTCGCCTTTCACGAGGGCAACGAACAGAAGGCCTTATCCTTCATTGCAAGACGCAGAGCAGAGCCCAAAGGGACCGGTTGCGTGAAGATCATGTCTTGCAGTTCAGTTAGGGTACCGTGTGCTCCATAATAGTTAATGAAAACAGAAAGTGTCAGGACCAGTTGCGATCGGAATGATCCTGATATGGAGACATTTCTATATTACGGCCGCCAGCGACGGACCCTGACGGTTCGTACGATCGCGTCTTGGCACTTTTTCTACTGTCTCATGTCCGGATCCGGATGCTGTTGTATAGTAGTTCATGTCACGGTGCTGTTGGAAACAATGAGGACGAAATCGCAATCAGCATGGGCGTCTGCCCGAACTTCGCCACGTCCGTGGCGGCACAGCTGGACTCCATGAACGGCGCCCTGCCAGTTGCTGATGGGGCTACTTCTTCGGTGAACCCGCCAGTGCCGGCCCCCGGCAAGGCGGCTCCAAAGGGAAAAGGCAGTGCGCCTGCGCCACCCGGCACGACGACGGAAGACCCCCAGCCGCCGCCCAAGAAGGCGAAAGTTCCGAAGCCGGAGGCACACGCGTCGTGTGTACGTGATAGTCCCATGCATGCATGCACATATCCCAGCTCGATAGATAGCCTGCCTGGGCAGGGATCCGACATGGAGTTGATCTGCAGTGGAGAGAACGTTGGACTTTTCGTGAAGTCGTGGGTGGCCGCGGCGAACACGGCCCAGGGGCAAGCCGTGAAAACGTGTGCAGAGTGCCTAGGCAGGCGAACACCATGTTTCAGCGGGAAAGCCTTCTCGGTGCAAAGTTGCATCTGCTCCGAAATCTGAGGGTGGAGGTCCTCGAGAGCCAGGAGGCTTTGATGGGGAAGATTAAGGACTGTGCCGAAGGCATCGGGGCTTGTCGCAAGAAGCTCCAGCTCATGGGGACAGAGCCAGTGGCCGCCGATGTGCAATCGGCCCTGCTGGAGGCGACTTGGGCAGATGTTTCGGTTACGATGTGCAGTGTATGTGTGTGTGTGTGCAGACCTTGACCCTTGCCTCTCGGCACACTGCATGCGACACCTCCTAGGCTACCGTGTTTGTGGAGGGTTTCAAGAAGCATCTTCGAGTGGCGAATGGCCTGCTTCTTGCTTCAGATGTATATATATATAGGATGTTTTTTTGTTGGCATGTGCAGCTTATATTGTGTGTGACAGTCGATCCATGTGAAGCTTGATGTTATTCGTAAAATAGATCACGATTCTTGTTCGGCTCAGGATCGCTTCGGAGCGACGTCCCGCGAATAAGACGGCCAAGAAAGCCAAGTCGGCTGCAAAGGCTGCAGCACAGGCTTAGGTCCGGATGCAAACCGAGGCGCATATATGGTAGCTTCTGCATATGGTTGTAGCCGGTCTAGGTATGATAGGTGGGTGGGTGGGTAGCGGTTGAGTAGGAAACATAGCACAATACGTCGAATCCTAAACAGCTAGAACCCTGTAAATCGTCTTATAACGAACCGTAGGTCCTAGCTGAGCCCTGTCTGTATGTATGTGTTTTCATGGTTTCTCGTTTTCGGAGTGGCATATACATCTATATATGTATGTAGTGTTTAGCATAGTGTGGTTTGGTTGCATCAATCATTCTAATTGGGACGTGTTGGTGTTCGGGGTTCATACCGCCTGCTGATACCATCAAGGTTCCCGAATTAACCGCTATTTTGCATCCGACCCATGGAAGCCTCCTTTTCCTTTCCTTCGATCTGCTGATGGCTGGAGGGTTGCTGTGCTCAGCACTCTGCCTCTGAAAACCAGTGTGCTCTGAGTGTGAGCGGGGATCGGCCAGCAGTTCATCTTTTGAGAACAGCATGCGCGGCACTCTATGTTGTGTGACTAGCTGCCATCGCAGATATACTCTTGCTACCTTGTTCCGGAAGTGTTTGTAGATCCTAAACCCAAAGCTCCAAAATCCTGCGTCCTAAGTCCGAAACACCGAAACCCTGAAGTTGGCGTTCTGCATCAATGATTAGTGTGCTGTGCATCTTACAGGAGGCCGCCGCATGCTGGAGTGCCTGGGGTTTGCAGTGTACTGCAGTCCTGCCTTGAGTCACTTCCGGCCGGCAGCATCAAGTGCGATCATCCCCCAAAAGCATTGATGCGGTTTGTGTAGTCGACTTGTCATGCATGGCTTGAAGCCTGAAGCGCGTGTCCTTGAGTCTGGCATCAGTCGTCCATGAGCATATGTGTGCACGGCCATGCTTCTTATGTTCGAGGTGCCAACCCAGCCCCATGTAGAGTTTTTGTTGAGTCATGCGATGACGTTCTCTTTCATTCAACCTCTGGATCATCGGTCACCTTGTAATACTACTTGTATGATTCACTCCCCAATGCGACCATGCACAATACCACCATGCACCATGCAAGACCACCCTATGCACTTTGGTATGCAACATGCCACTATGTATCACCATGCACCACCACACCCTACACGAGCCCACCCATGCAGCCCACCCTACACGTCATCATGGCTTTCCTTTTCGTGCTGTCTGACCCCAGCCTGGGCTCCTATGCCGCTGCTGAAGAGACTGGTTCATTTGAAAAAGAGCCTGGACAGAAATCAGGCGACTGCTGGCAGTGATGGTTCTGTTGCCAGAAGACCATCTTTTGCCGAGTTTTCATTGCGGAAAAGCGCGTTGAGCAGAACACTCGGTTTTCACGTGGGCCGGGGAGCCAGCTCCGGACTTCTTCAAGAAGTGGCGTCTGCGGCCGTCGCAGAAGCAGGGGATGCAAATGTGACCCCCAGTGCCTTGTTGCACAATGGTTATAATACCTTATATCATTGCATGCCTTGGCAAATCATGCACGCAGATGCCCGGTTCCAAGGTACCAGGTGGGCTGCGAGTTTGGGCGCATCAGGACGTTGTGCGCAACACATCGAGGAGCCACTGAGCAAGGCTGTATCTTGCTCGAAGAGCGATGTCGCCGGTCTGAATTATATTAGATGTCTAAATATAAATAATATATGTATGCCGTCTAAAGAACATGTCGGAATGTATGCAAGGATATCCGAGGCTCCACTAGTATGCCCTTTGAGTTCGGTGTCCCTCATGATGAAAGATATGCGTGCTGAAGCGCGACGAGAACAAGAAGTGCGACGACAAATCAATTGTCGCTTGAGGAGGGCTGGTTTGCCGAGGAGGCGAAACCCCAAGAAGAAGAGCAAGAGGGCCCAGTCGACTGAGAATAAGTGCATGCAAACGCTGCCGGTGCTGTTGCCTCATATTCTCTTTAAGAGCATGGTTTGCTCTGGCTTGATCGCAGAGCTGATGCTTGCTGGCATTGCATGCGTGCATATGCATAGATTGGAATAGATGCTCTCGCATGTTGGTGATGTCGTGATGTTTTGTATTCTCCATCCACACTGCGCAATCAATAAGGGCGGGCACTGTCGACTGGCTGGACTGGTGGCAGAAGGCCAAGAGCGAGCCATGGGGGATGCGTTTTTCTCGCAGCATGCAGGTGTGTGTGGACTGTGTCTTGTTTGTTTTCTAGAGTGCAGTACGTGGAATGTTTCATATGTCGATCCGGCAACATATACAAGGAATCATCCGGTGCAGTCCTGGCCGGAGGAGGCCAGGCAAAAAGCGGTGGCCGTGTCGATTCACGGCGATGAGGGTACTGGGAAGAGGAGCAAAAGCATCTTGATCCTGTCGCTTTCGCCCTTGGCCATCCACCGGGGCGACTCGATGCTGCAGAAGTTCCCGTTCTGTGTGCCCTGGCCGGTGTTTTAGATTCCTCTAATGCATCTATGTGAATTCCAGACGTCGCTTATGTATGCGTGCAGCGGATGTGCACATGCACACAGTGTGTGTGAATCATGGCTGAGGTTGTGCGATCAGACAGATTTGTCTACGACAACGGCCAGAATATCACGCTTCAGGCGCTACAGCGCTACTACGCCGATTCCTTTCGGATTTGTGGCGACCCCGCCAGCGAAGGCCAACACGGATGGACCATGCACCCTGTCATATCGAAGGGAGATTGGAAGCACAAAAGGGAATGGTTGGAACAATGTAGAAGCTACGGGAACCTTGCTAGCAATGCTCCTCGTGAGCAGAACGCCGGCAGAATCTGCCCGAGATGCTTGTGCGATGGCAGCACACCTGGAAAGCATTGGGCTGACATGCGTGAGGGCTTCGATAACCAGGCAGACTTGGATGAAGCTTCGAATGATAGTAGCTAGGCGGCATGGTGCTCTAATGCAAGTGTGGTGTGGAGCTGGCTTGAGGTGTGTCGCGGGTGTCACTTATTGCACGCGCTGCTTCGTTTGTCTTAGGCGTTGGTGCAAACATCGCGTCACCAGGCTTGACTTATGTTTGGAAACTTTTAACTTTGCGTTCAGGCTCTAGACAATTACCAAGTGCGTGTCCGCCGTGCATGTTGCGCCGCAAAGTGTCGTATTCGAGGATGTGGAGAATTCCTGGCTACCACCACTCCTGTGAGTATCCAGATTTGCTCCATTGCCTGTATCTGGGAACTGAGAGGGATGCCACTGCGTCTCATGTTATGGAGCTGGCGAAGTTTTCTCCGCAGTTTCAGGCTTACGAAACGTGGGATGAAAGGTTGCATCACCTGCATGTGGACTTTCAGATGTGGTGCACGGAGCACCATATCCGACCCAGCATTCTTGATGGACTGAGTCACCCAGCTGCTCGTATTTTCGGCTGCTGGAACCACTCCGTACTGACAATTCGTGCTGCATCCGCAAAATATATCTGAGGTTTGGTGAAGCTGGGAATCGATGCGGTCACATTGGAGTACCCGAAGGGGCCGGGAAAAGGATATGCAAACCGTGTCTTGTTGCTTGGCACACCAATAATTCAGCAGAGAGGGAGAGTATAGGGAGAGCGCAAAGGGAGCAAAGCACAAACATTGCATGTGCCTATATAAGGATGGCGTACTTAGCCGAACGGCTGTCTGCCTCTTGCCTTGCGATATTCTCTGCTTGACGATCTGCGGTCCACGCTTGTATTCAGCTGTGGTTTGTATAGGA